ATGAGACCTCACTTGGAGTATTGTGCACAGACCTGGTGTCCTCAAGAGAACAAGAGAAAAAGGACACGGAGCTGTTGGAGAAAGTCCAGAGGAGGGACATGAGGATGATCAGGAGGCTGGAGCACCTCCCATATGAAGACAGGCTGAGAAAGTTGGGGCTGTTCAGCCTGGAGAAGAGAAGGCTGCGTGGAGACCTCAGAGCAGCCTTCCAGTATCTGAAGGGGGCCTAGAAGGATGCTGGGGAGGGACTCTTCACGGGTTTAAACTTAAAACAGGGGAAGTTCAGGTTAGATATAAGGAAGAAGTTCTTCACAGTGAGGTTGGTGAGGCGCTGGAGTGTGTTGCCCAAGGAAGTTGTGAATGCTCCATCCCTAGTGGTGTTCAAGGTCAGGCTGGACAAAGCCTTAGGTGACATGGCTTAGTGTGAAGTGCCCCTGCCCATGGCAGGCGGGTTGGAACTAGATGATCTTAGAGGTCCTTTCCAACCCTAAATACTCAATGATTCTATGACACAGAAAATAACTGCACACCAAACTATCTAAAACTACCGAATTTTCTCTTATACTTTTCTTATAAAATTGAAAAATTTGGAAGCTTCTCCTGGTTTCAGAGAAGGAAAATAAAAGACTTAAGGAAAATCGTATCACGCATCTTTCCTCTGCTGCTCTTATTTCCCCATTACTTCGCTGCTTTCCAATCTTCTGTCTGAGTACTCCCCTTCACAGGCAAAGCCCTGTAAATATACAGCTGTCTAAAATAATTCTGACCTATGTTTGTGTATGCTGAAAAGAATTAATAAAACCTGCAATATGATGAGATACAGCAAAAAGCTAAGACACTATTGTTCATTCAAAAAGCTGGGGGGTTTGTTTGTTTTTAAGGAAAACCTATCATTTTCTAATAGGATAGATCTCGAAAAATTCCACATGAGAAAAATATGATAGATTATTCATAGAAGTCCAACTGTAGCATTAGAACTTCATTAAGCAAAGCAGCTCTTGTTGTACATCTCTGGCCACATATGAGACAAAAACCTTTTGGGCCTTAAGATTATGAAAGGCAAGTTCCTGTACAGTAGAGGCAAGAAATTATTTCATGTTCTTTGTTACCACTTTTTCTCATTGATTTCAATTTAAAAGGAGAAAATAAGAAGTAGCTTCATCATCAGAAGGCTGAATTACCTAGTGAAGATGGGTGAATTCAAAAAAGTGCCTGAAAATGACAGATTTTTTGAGAGACAGAGATATCTCTTTGTGTCACTGCCTCAAATGTACTTCAGCTATTTCAGCAGCAGTGCCAGTTTGTTGCACAAGAACTCAAATCATGGCAGGATATATGAAGTCACTGACCTTTCTCCAGATCTGTGCTTGCAATAGTACCTTAGAGGTTGTACTTCAACAACCACAAAACCTGGTAACTGATCTCTGAAGGAAATCAGCACAACCCCTCCACCACTGGTCAAAACAGCAAGCGCTTTTGTATCCCAGTTGTCCGAGAGTTACCTTTATCAACAACTCAATGACTTCTGTATGAACAAGACCATGCACTGGCTCTCCATTGATATGAGTTATCAGGTCTCCAGCTTTTAAACCCGCCTGGTAAGCTGCACCTCCTTCTTCCACATTCTGGAAATCAGAGATGAAGAGAATATATACAAAATGGACCCCTGTTTAACCTTCATACTTTCAACATCAGGCTTTATTTAGTGAACTCCTTCTAAACAAGCTGGTAGTAAAGAAAACTTACAGATATTAAGTTATATAAAGGAAGAAAAGAAGAAAAATCATACCAGCCATTTCACCACCAACTACCCTACTCAAACTTTATACTTACATGGGGTGTTTCAAAGCTCACTGAAACACTGCTTGTTGCCACTGGTATTACAGAAGATCTGTATAGCAGGGCAGTTTTCATGCATGACAGAGAAGGGGTGACACACTCTCCATGGCAAAATGTCATAACTGAATTAAGATTTTTAGCATGTGTCACTGAGAAATACTGATGTAATTAACACAGTGGTTATATGGAGTACCCTAATCATCGTAAAAATGAACTCCACCATATAGTTAAGGATTGCTTTCATTTGGTTCAAATTCACTAGGCTGCCCATTAGAGAAAACAGTACATCACAAAGGTGATGAAGGACCAAAACAAACTGAATCGCAAATTATTCTGAAAGGGAGGTTAAATAATTTATTGTAATTGAAGAATTTTAAGGCATGCAGCCACCACTGAAGCTTACAGTGCTTACTGAGCTAACCCCAAGAAACCTATACTATCTTGAAAAAAGCCAAGGTTTCACTTTTACTGCAGTGTATCACTTTGTTCTCTTCCTTTCACTAACAGTGATGCTACACCAGTGGCAAGAAAACCCATTTTTAAATTTATTCCATTATCAAATGTACCTCTTCCTCTATATTCAATGTTCTTGATGGGTCAATAGGTCTGAGAGGTAAACAACATGAATTAAAAATGAGTAATACACTACTATATCAGTAGCATTGCTACTTCAAAACCTACAATACATACTTAAAACAAAGCACTGTACAAAACTTCAAAGCTTTTGATATTTGTGGTATTCAATTTTTCAAAATTACTTTAAGGTAGTTGAAATATTTTATACATGCACACACTATCTATGTATAATATATGTATAATATACAAATTATATAAATATATATACTATATAAAATACACAATGTTATCAACCTCAATTATAAAATAAAAATGCATATGTAGTCACATAAATATATATTTATTTTACAATTAAGGAGGTTAAAAACCAATGAAAGAACTTCTGTCTTTTCCTTTAGACTGTCTCCCACTTGAAATCAGTTGCGAAGAAAGAATGAAAAATACAGGATTTATTCAAGACAGCCAAGTCTCTTTCCTATGCCTAGTCCTCAAAAGTGTTCACAATTCCAAGTGAATTACACATTCCTACGCAAAAGAAAGTCAGTGCTTGAGATCAGCCTACTTGTGTCTAGTAAAATACTGTTGATTTCATTAATCCCTTAACTGATGCAGTTTAATAGACTCCGTGTGTATTTCAACTATTTCTGTTTACCATCTCCTGGCTGTGAAGATCCTGACCTCAAAAAAATGGGGCTGCACCAACCCTCTGGATTTCTAAGCCACAGCACTTTGAACTTAGACATGGCTATTCACATTTGCCAAACCTTCCAAAAGGGAAAGTGCACAATCATGCGGAAGGGCAGCACCATGTGTGGTAGCTTGTGTTGTCCCTACAGGCAGCACCAGACTTGTTTACAGGCACAAATTTCATTCTAAGCAAATTGTTTGACACAACATCATGATTTACACAGCAACAGTCAACAAACATACCACAGGTATAAAATTTGAAGGAAAATTCATCATTACGGTTTTCTGTGCCTGAATATAAGCAAAAAAAATGTATTATCTTACCCAAACAATATGATGTACAGTGTAGATATCGCTGTCACCCACATAAACCCTGATTGCTCGGATGGTGAAGCCATACTTTTTTCCTGAACTGTGAATTACTATTGGTTGATGAGGACTTGGAGCAGCAATCGATGAATCACGGCTGGGAGATGAATCTCGGGATGATGAAGGATCAGATGATAGGGAATGAGGAGACATAGGACTTCCCAAAGGAGAAACACCAAACACATCTGGAAGAAATAAATCTGTCTATTAAAAGTACATTCTGAGCACACATGAATACAGACACAGAACAGGGAATTTGCTTAATTTTATGACATCTTTATGTCAAAATGTATCACTGTCTTTGAATAAGCACTCTTCCCCTCCATCAGTGTTTATCCTACCTGTTTAACCAACAATCAGATCTTAGAACTAAATTTCTTTCCCTGTAGTCTAAAGCGTATATTTTAATGCAAGGGTTACCTTGTTACATGTGTTTCTTTTTAGAAAGGAAACACATTCATTTCTAACTTTCAAAGAACAATTCCAGCCTCTTCGTAACAAATACTCATGAAAAAAAACAGTCAGTTTGGTAGCACATATTATTTGAGGAGTACATCCAAAACCATCCCCCAATCACCCAGCAGTGATAAATAAAGCACAAGTTCGAGTTTGGGGTTGTTTGGTTTGTGTTGGCTTTGTGGGTTTTTTTGTTTCAGTTATATATACATACAGATAAAGACTGCTGTAATTAAACCACATACTGGTATATAGGACAGTAACTCAGTGCTTATAACAAGCCTGCATTTCTACATTCTGCTGTATCATGTAAGACCACAAGAATTTCTTGCAACCACAGTACCAGTTACAGCTTCATTTTATTTCACTGTTTTGAAATCACTATGTACTCATGTTTGTGCAAATGTAAACACAACTGCAGCAGCATAAAGCGTACTCTGGTGACTGTAACAGGATGACAGCTCTGCAAAGGAATGCAGCCCAGAAAGATTCCAGGTTTGGTGTTCCGTGCCAAGCCATGTCATGTGAGGGCAGATACATTTTGACAGCAGAGACGCTGCTCCCTGAATTTGAGTCATCAGAGGCTCCCAGAGATCAGTATCACTGGGTTAATGCTGAAATCCCGCAGAACAGCCAAGCCCCGAGGGTGACTGTCACTGTCACCTTCTAGCTCTGAAACATGCCCAGATCCCCCGCCCTCTGCCTTCTACTGTGTCTGGGACATGCCCTGTGACTCTCAGCTATGACTCAGGTCAGGAACACTGGCCATCTGTTGCTGTAGTTTACATCATGGATAAATACGAATAACGTAGGTTTTTTGGACAGCAGGTACAGCTAACATGTAAGATTCTGGTTAGTATAGATATGATGACAACATTTTAGGACTAAGCAAAGCTAAGTTTGTATTTTATAGAACAATGCTGAGATTAAACTGGAAGTAACTCAGTATTTATCATCTCTGAATTTAGTGATTCTTACTTGACAACTGTGAAAGAACTACTAGAGTACAAACTGATGAATAACTCTTGAGTGTTTCCTGGCTGTGTGATTACCTGTCTTTATATCATGTTCCTGTGATAGCTAATCTTTCTGGCTTATCACCTTTCCTTATGGGAGAGGAGAGAGACCTAGTCAGGCTGAATGTGCTGCTGCAACAAACAGCTATGCTTGGAGCTGCATATAGGGAACTACTTAAAACTTAAGCTACATCCCTACTGTATGATGGGCCAAGGACTGAATCCTGCATCCTGTTGTGCATGCACATGGTTGAACACAAAGTAGTCACCACAAAGCTGTATTTTTGCCTGTCAGAGAAGGTCCTTCAGCTGTAATGTGACCACTGTAACTCACTGACGAGACTGTACCATCTAGTAGCACATGTGAACAAGAGAAACAAAGTGTGACACAATTCATCCTGGCCTCTCCAAAATCTTGCATTTACATCATACACCATCAGATATGCGTAAATCATAACAATTCAAACAAAAAGATTTATCTCTACCTCCTGGGATCATAAGGGACAAAGCACTTGCAGAAAGGGACTTTGTGACTTTTCCAGAGATCTTCTTTTTCTCTGTGCTTTCTAATCGCTGGCGAGCCACGTGAGATGCAACTTCATTGGGTGGCTTTGAAGAGTTATCTGTACTGTCCATGCCCTCACTTCTTCCGTTTATCTGATCTAAGTGGTCTGAAAAACTGCCAACTGTACAAAGAAGAAAGGATAAACACATTGAGGGAAAACTCAAAAACATTGAGGGGTCAGGGAAGAGAAATGGTACAACTGTGACAGAGGATTTTTTTCTTTCAAGTTCATAAAACAACATTACAGAAATCTGAGTAATTTTTCTGCACTCAAGAATGACTAAACGTTAAAAAAATGAACTGAAGTAACATTTTTTGTAGTCAGTGACTAAAAATGAAGGAAGTCTTGTATTTCTATATGCAGCACTCACCAACTTAATCATGTATTTATCTTTCACATAAACTCCTCCTGAAGTAAAAGGCTCCAATCCTACATAAGGTGCTACCAGCTTATCAAGTTTTCCAAAATCACTAAAACACCAAGCATAATTTTATTTTTAATTATTATCATTTGCTTTTATTCTTTTGGTGGTTTTCTACCACACAGCAGAAAGATACCTGGCACCACTAAACTCAGCATTATAACTACATTGATATTAGTCTAGCATAGGTAATGAACTTCAATGATGCTGAATGGAGGAAGGACAACAATGTTTCAAACAATGAAAAAAACTGTAAAGGCCTTGTGTAACACACACCCAGGGTAGGTCGCCCGCTCAAAGCATAGAAATTCCTAGCATTACTTTAAGGTCACTGAGTATCGCGCTGCTAATGGACCACAGAAAAATGAAATTACTTTTAAGTGCAACTGACACTTAAGTGACAGAAGTGGATCACATGCTTTGAGTTATCACTGTGACTGCTGTGCTAATGCTAACACTGTAACACTGGCAGTTGAGCAAGACTTGGAATACAGCACAGTCAAGGTTTTAGACAAGGGAAGGAGATGGGAAAGGTTGTATAGCTGGGTGAGCCTGAGAAAATTTATCTTCCCAGAAATGGAGAGGAGGAAGGGGAAGGAAAATGTGAACTACAAGGGAAATCAGGAATATGTGAATAGAAAGGGCTATCTTGAGAAAACTCAGTGAGATACAAAAGAGAAGTACGCTGAAGACAGGCAAATGTGTAGAGAAGGTAACTAGAACTTATTTATGGACAATCATGAAACTGATATACGCCTAGATCTGTGTTATGTATCACGAGTTCCAAGTAGTTATAAAAAGCTCTCCTTTGAAAGCATAAACCAAGCAAGACGGTAGGGCCCTGGATCCTACTGAAATGCATGCAAATACTTGAGCTGGGAGAGGGATGTATACAGCAAATAAATTAAGTAAAGAATGGTTTACAACACTCCCTTCTAGATTCCTGACGACGAAAGTGACTCCCACAAGTCAAAGACAACCCTACCAATTCTGAGAAGTGTGTATCATTGAGATGTCTTATTAAAAACACACAGTGGTGTAGCATAGTCTTAGAGAACAGTAATACAGGTCCATTGGAACAACTCGAGGGTGCTCAAAAAAAAGAAACACTAACTTCAGTGAGGAAAGATATAAAAATAGTGCTTTAAATGCTCAAGGAATTTAAGACTCCTTTTCTCCACAGGAGGATCCTGCAAAGGCTGAATGCTCAAGTCACTGTTTTATTCACTTGACAAGGAGCCCTCCAGACTCTGTGGGGCAACTCCAAATGTTGGTGTTTCCAAAAACACTGAAAATTTCACATACATGTTTTCCCAAGATTTTATGAATTTGAGCCTAGGCCCAAACCAGACCCTCTTAGGATGGCTTTTTTTATTTTTTTAAGGCAATTCTGAAATACCTGACTTTTAAATCCACAAATGTTACTCTAAACAATTTGCTAAACAAATTATTTCTAATGTCACTGTGATTTACCTGACAGCGTGGAGCTGCTGATTGTACTTGCTGGAGTGGTTACTTCAGGTTCGTCTTGCACTACTTCCTCACTCACAAATACAGGTTTTTCCTGTTCCTCCCGGGGTCCAACTAAGCCAGCAGAATCATTCTGTTCTTCAGCAGATATGGCCAACTTTGGAAGCAAACCAGAGCTACGTCGCTGCCTGCTACTCTCAGTGTCAGAGGAGATGGATGTAGATATTTGTTGTCTGCATTAAAAATAAACAAACTCTCATGCAGTTATCGAGATAAGGAGGCCTGTTACCTGGCAAGCAGGACATGGACAACTTCCAGCACCTCCTTCTACTTACATTTCAGAATATTCTGAACTCCAGCTTAAAGATTCCACAGAAGGCAAGGTTACACTTTTTGTTTTGTCTCCTGCATCTTCCTTTTCTTCACCTTGCGCGTGAGCAACTCGATCTATGCTACTAAAAACCTATTACAGACAAAAAAAAATCAACAACAAATAAACAAAATCCCCAACTCATCACTGATGTATTTGACAGAATAAGATGCAGGAAAGCACATTTCAACGATTCTATGACTCTAAACGCTTACACGGTATTTCACAGTGCAAACTTCAAGCTTCTTGAGCCTTTTAAAATTTCCAAGTTTGTGCTCTTAAAATGCTTTCCTCTTTTGCTTTCTTCCTCTTCATGTACAGGGTCATGAATATTATCTATTCTCATTACGGATTCATAAGCCTTCTCCCCATTTCACTGTGTGAACCAGTAGAGTACAAACAAAATCCATAGCCTTGAGGTCTCTAAGACCCAGGATAATGCAACTTGTGGATTAATTCACAACCATAAAACAAATCAAAGTAAAAAAACCCTAACCATAAGATACTTAATGTCTACCAGTCAGGTTTGGAAAACTGAAAGATTAATTTGAATTGACTCTGAAGTGAATTAAAAATTACTTGGCTAAAGGATTTAGAAAAAATAAACTCTGATTACTGAAGTCTGTTGTTTGCTTAGCTGACAAACAGCACACAGAAATTGTCAGCTGTACATTCTACAGCCTGAGAGGCACAGCTAGCGATGCAATGAGAATGACATTAACAAATCAACTATTACTGTGCTACAGAGCTTCCAAAAGGACAGAAGTTCACTGAATCACAAAATGAGATTGGAAGGGACCTCTGCAGGTCATATTGCCCAATTCCTCTGTGCACAAACAAGGTCAGCCTGGAGCTGGTTGCTCTGGCCCATGTCCGCATGGCTTCTGAAGACCTCCAAGGATGGAGACTCCACAACCTCTCCAGACAACTTATGCCAGTGCTTGATCAGCCTCACAGTTAAGTGTTTCCTTGTCTTCAGACAGGAATTCCTGTGTTTCAGTTTGTGCCCACTACTCATCCAAGTTGTCCCCAAAGAGACTGTGTCATTTACCAATATCTGATTTTGAAACATACGAAGTCAAAATGAGGAGTTTACAGCAGGCTAACTATATCCATGATTCCTGTCTCTGCTCTTCCATGTTATCACAGATACAGTATGTATGTGCTACAGCAAAGCCAGCATAAAACCCACTAATTCCTTAAAACCTAACCCAGGACAAACTAGATAGAAACACAGACTTTCTAAATACCTTTAAACAGTCCCTAAAGTGAGTTAAAGAAACATTTTTAAAAAGAAAGCTTTTGAAAATCACTGCTGGATGCTATGTTAAGACTAGAAGGATGCTTATTAGGTATTCTACTTCCATTATTTTCTGCCAATTTAGCCTTCTGAGAATGTCCACAAAATTTCCCTCCTGGCATCCCTTATCCAGCAATAATTAGCCTTCATCTCAACTACTTAAGTAAACTACCCTTTGGACAGTCAGCTTCACCTTCAATTCCTAGCATTCAAATTACTCCCTCAAGCCCACATCTCTCCATGACCAAATCTCATGCTAAGCACTACTTTGATTTTCTTTTCAGTCTAATGTAATTTAATTAGAAACCTAGGACACAACTGGAGGAACATGCAAAATGCATACAAGGAAACCAACATAATGAACACGTATTAGCATTTAACAGAACAGTTCCCCTAAAATTTCTCTTATGTTATTATAAATTTGCTACAGAAAAATAACAACCTATTTATATAACTTTCTATTACTTTCCTAAGGATTCAAGAGACAACTTCCTATAGAATCATCCCATGTTTTGATTTAGTAGGTGTCGTGGTTCAAGCCCAGCCGGCAACACAGAACCACACAGCCACTCGCTCACTCTCCCCCTGCTCCTGGAGGGATGGGGAGGAGAATCGGAGGAATGTAACTCCCACGGGTTGAGATAAGAGCACTCCAGTAACTAAGGTATAATACAAACCACTGCTGCTACCAATAATAATGATGAGGGAAATAACAAGGGGAGAGGACACAACCGCTCACCACCCGCTGACCGATACCCAGCCCGACCCGAGCAGCGATCTGGGCCTTCCGGGTAACTCCCCCCAGTTTATATACTGGGCATGACGTGCTGTGGTATGGAATAGCCCTTTGGCCAGTTTGGGTCAGGTGTCCTGCCTCTGCTTCCTCCTGGCTTCCCCTCCTCCCTGGCAGAGCATGAGACTGAGGAAGTCCTTGGTCAGGGTAAACATTACTGAGCAACAACTAAAAACATCGGTGTCATCAGTGTTGTTTCCAGGCTAAAAGTCAAAAACACAGCACTGCACCAGCTACTAAGAAGAAGAAAAAAAAGACTGCTGTAGCTGAACCCAGGACAGTAGGATTCATTTAATTTTTGCTCAGTTTCAGTTAACATTCATTGAAGAAACAATACCCTATACGTTTCTTCCATATGGTTTCCAAACTCTCTAAAAGTACCAAAAGTTTACCTACACAATACATACTAATATTACAGCAATTTTTACTTACTTTTGAAAACCTGTGCGAACATGAGGAAAACTGTCTTATCTCCAAATTAAAATCTTCATCATTAGTATCATCTTCTTCCTCAGTTTCCATATGGTGGTATTTCTCAGACCGAGCTACAGACAATGGAAATAAAGTATGTGAATTTATCAGGAAGAAGGAGTACCAAGCTTAATGTTAACTGACAGAGTAATTTCATTCCCAAGATCATTACTGCTGAAATGTCAAATCACCAGTGAAACTGCAAGCTGCCACTGGTTCTGATGAAAGACACTTTCAAAGCAGTAAGCAAAAGTCAAAGGCAGTGATTACTTAAACAAGGTGCTCTTCACAGCTTTTTAAATCCCATCAAACACCTACTGTCAAAATAACTTGTGTCATCTTCAGACTCCAATTGCGGAATGAATTCTGCTTTCTGCCTCAGCAGACTATTCCAGTCAAGGCTCCTGAAGAACTGATGCTGCTTTACTTCATATGCACCACCTGAGGGAGCCAGAGAAAAACATTGAGCAAATGATACCACATCCTCTGACATTACTCAAGAAACCCTGACCAAAAAAATGTAAAATTATCACGGAAAGCCTTAGTCCTTAGGCTGTAACATCTACTAGCCATTTCCACTAGAATCTCCTAAATCTATCAGAGCACCTCTCTCTCTCTGCTCTGTTGTGGCCACTTCTTTAGTAGCAGTTGCATTGCTTTATCATCTTCCCCCTTCTAACATTTCTGTTTTTCTGGATATAATGATTATTATCTGTCAGTGACACTTCAGTCAGAAGCATAAGATGTAGTAGTCATAAAAGTGTAAGTATGTGTATTAGATGAGTAAGTACACGTTAGAAAGTAATGAAAATGATTCTTAATAGGAAATACCTTATAATTTATCTTCTTACAGATTACTCCCTTCTTGTTATAATCCATGTTACAAAATTAAACTAGTTTCAAGTTATGAAGCAACTATAGCAACACAATGAAATACTGGAATTTTTGTCCTGAAGGGCTGGGCGAGTGTATTATTAACAAGCATTAATTTAATTCTAGAAATCGAACAGGTAATCTGCAGCAGCAAGAATTACTGCCACCTTGATTGTACTGGGTTTATGTGTCACAGTTTTGGTAGTGGGGACTTGCAGGGGTGGCTTCTGTAAGAAGATGTCAGATGCTTCCCCCATGTCTGACAGAGCCAATGCCAGCCAGCCCCAGGATGGACTCACTACAGGCCAAGGCTGAGCCCATCAGTCATGTCGGCAGTGATAACACATTCATGAAAGAGTAAAACAACTGTTGCACAACAGCAGTCAGAAAGAGGAGTGAGCATATGTGAGAGCAGCAACCCTGCAAGACACCCAGGTCAATGAAGGAGGAGGGCATGAGAGCAGAGATTGCCCTGCAACCCTTGGTGAGGCAGACTGTGACCCTGCAGCCCATGGAGGTCTGTGGAGGAGCAGATCTCCACCTGCAGCCGATAGAAGACACCGCACCAGAGCAGAGGGATGCCCAAAGGAGACTGTAACCCCGTGGGAAGCCTGTGCTGGAGCAGGCTCCTGGCAGGACCAGTGACCCCATGGAATGGACCCATGCTGGAGCAGTTCATGAAGAACTGCAGCCCACGGGAAGGACTCACGTTGGTGAAGCTGGTGGAGGACTGTCTCCTGTGAGAGGGATCGAACACTGGAATGGGGGAAGAGTATGAGAAGGAATGAGCAGCACAGACGTGTAATCAACTGACTTACAATCCCCATTCCCTGTGGCTCTACCTTCTCTCACAGGGAGAAGGTGGAGAAACTGGGAGGGAAGTTGAGCCCGGGAAGAAGGGAAGGGTGGCAGGAAGGGAGGGTTTTAGGTTTGTTTCTATTTCTCATTATCCTACTCCATTGTTAATTGGCAATAAACTAAACTAGTTTCCCCAAGTCAGGTCTGTTTTGCCTGTGACATTAACCAAGTGATCTCTCCCTGTCCTTTTATCAATCCACAAATCTTTCAATGTATTTTCAACCCTGTCCAGTTAAGGAAGGGGGAGTGATAGAACAGTTTGGTGGGCACCTGGTGGCCAGCCAAGACCAACCCACTACACTGATACAGCATGTAAGCTTCGTTACACCAAGGCTAAGTCAGCAGAGAACCACTGAAAAAGTCTCAAGTCTCCAGGACTGGTCTTCAACTCAGTCTCAAGATTTCTAACTTGCTTCTTTGCTTTTCTGACTGCAGCAGGGAAAAAGTAAAAAAAATGCAAATATTCCTGAAGGCAACCAAAATCACAACTCATTGAAAGTCACTAGCCAAGGAGCGAACATTTCTCTTAAGCATAGTAATGGGATATTACATCAGAACTGTGTAATTCTTGATTGGTATCAGACACCTCAAACCCAAAGAGGTCCTTTTTCTGTAATTTTGCTTCTTCAAAACAAGCACAGTATCTATCTCTTTTGCTTCAACTTAACTATGCCACTCAGGTCTCCTGAGCAAATACACAATTAGGATTTTCATGGAGTGTTATACAGCTAGCTAATACATATTAGATAGATAGGGCTGTTATTTGAAATGCATGGTGGAGCCTGGGATAAACAGTGCTGTTTTCCAGTGCCCCTGTGGGACCTGTCACATTGCAGTCTCGGTTTCTGTAAGTTGTTTCTAACATTAAAAAAACCCTAACAACTTTGCTGTGGCTTCTAAACACCCCTCTGTGCTTCAAAGAAATGGCTGCCTGACTTCCTTGTTCAGGCTGTCACACTCTTGAGAGACCACAGTTTAAAGAAATCAGCCACTGCACAGATGTTCCATGTGGTGGCACTGACCATCACAGTCTCAGACTAGCCAATTCACTTTCTCAACCAGCTGTAGCAAGGTAGGCAGAATTTGCAACCTACTTCTGATCCAGCCTCCCACATGGAGGCTCACTGTCTTGAATTAACCCTGTCTTTACCAGGAAAAAAAAGCATTCTGGCAATGAAACAATGCCTGAAAGGAGTATACGTAAAACAAACGAATGGAATTAGTTGTGGCTCTTTATTTTGCCTTTGGCTGCGGTGCCCTTTGTAGCAGATGAAGCAGGCAGCAAGAAGAGAAGCTGACTAGGGCATGACATCTGCTTCACTCTTGTTCAAAACAGGGCAACGGAAAACTGAAACTTCGCTGGATGCCACTCGTTCCAGACCATCAATTACAGTGAAGTCTAAGGGCTGTTCATACAGATCCCAGACTCTCAGGGAGCAAGGGACATGCAGTTCCCTCATCTCAGGTCACGTCGTCATGTCCCAAAGGAAGACCTGTCATGTGGGACCATGTCAATAGTACTTGAGGTCTGGGTTTCATACATATGTTCCCCCCAAGTGACAGTGGTAAGGCCAGTTATAAACTGATTTCTAAAGCTCCTGTTTATGTTAGCTCTAAAAATACAGAGCACAATCTGAACACTGAACTCAGCTTTGCCAACAATTTTCCAACTCCTCTCATGCTGATTCAACCTGCCACTTGGTTTCCTTAGCATCCCAGTGTATTTCCCTTCATGGCATAGAGTGTTCACTATAAAAAAGAGTATACTTTTACATTCAGGCTCTTTCACATAGGAAGTCTTTTTTGATGTGTTTATGTAGTGCTTTCCTCAGTGGAATGGCTGTCAATGACTGGGGATTCCATACATTAACACTTTAAAAATTATGTGCAATATTCTTCGCTAGTGCCTCTCATCCAATTCCCAGATAAAACCTGCTCCATCAACTAACAAACTCTACTACATAAATCTACAGTGCTTTCATTAGCCTAAGCAGGCATCACATACTCATTCCATTTTGAGAGGTTCTTCTCTCAAAATGGAATGAGCACAGCACTGAATGACCACAGGGGAATAAGGTGGCAGCTTGTGTTCTCACTGATACTCATTTACTTCCTTAACATTCACACTTTTTTTTTTGTTCTTTCTCATGCAAGGCAGTAGTGCTTGCTGAACGACAAGACCTTTCACAACACAACCTCAGACAGTCATTTCTTAACAATTAGTTAAGAGTACCCATCATCCACCCTAAAGCCTGGAGGAATTAATTTGCCAGGCTAAGATACTTCTGCAAAAGGAAGCATTAGTTGTATGTTGATTCCCTTTCTCTACTTCTATGTTTAGTTATTTAATGCTGTATCCATGAAGGAACACTATCTAACAGCTAACTGGGTCTTTGAAAAATTTCTGGTTTATGTAGTGAAATAAGAGAAGAGTAATTGCAAATGACCACATACATGTAAACTCCAAAACAAAGACAATCATCATCTGCTATAACGGCATGTTGTCATGCTGCTTGTCCTGACAGATGTTTCCCGAGCAAAACAAACAGGTGAACAAAAGCTCTCAATGCCGAATATATAAACTATTTCCAGCACACTATTTAAAATAAGGCCTCCTAACCTGTTCCCAGTCTTTCCAGTGGATTCTGCCTGAGCAGCAGAGTAATCAGATCCTGGGCATCTGGTGGTGGTGCTTCATCCTTTTCAGGCCAGTTGATTTCATCTAGCAAAACAGAAAGTTGTATGTTATTACTGAAGTCTGATCCCAACATTCAGCAGAAACTGTGAAAGCAAGCTAGCAGTAAAGCTGAGTTAAGGCAACTTTTCAAGTTGCTCTCAGCTGCATACCAATTACTTCTGATTTTCATACTCTCTATACAAACTCCATAAACATATTGTTTATGGGAATGTATGGCCCATTTTCCTCAGAAGTATCCTTTCACCCAAAACCGTGTTTAACAACAGAATAAAGGAATGCTTGGCTCATGGAAAACTATTGCAAAATATTAGCAAAACTTGCATGCTGTCCCTTCTCCCTGGCCACCCCACCCAAATCATGGTTTAAATTTTAGTTCTGTTCCATGGAAATTGCTGTTAAGAAGGACACAGATGACCTGACGTAGCAGTCACTGTTCACACCTGCAGTCTTTCTCTTCTAATGCTAGCAGACTCCCATGACTAAGGGCCAAGGTACTGGACTCTGCTCTGGAGAGATATATGCCAATGGAGTTTTCTTTCAAGTGCTGCATACTTCAGAGGAAAACCACCTTGCTCTACTGACTCTTCTATCACTAAGGCTTTTGCACTTCACAGCAAGTTGGACCTAAATCATGCAACCAAGATATTAAGCCCTGCAGTGTTCAGGTAAGGCTGGGGAAAAAAAAAAAAATCTGCCAAACTTTCATTTAAATTGAACAATGGAAAATCGTGCCAGTTTCAATATGAACACACATTTTATAACAAGCTTACACAGTAAGTTTTGTCTGATGTCTATCAGAGGCTGCCTCCAAAAATGTAATATACAGCAGGTTTAGACAAAACTCTGCAGAAGTTTCTTAAGAGGTAAAAGGATTTTGGCATCAGAGAAACAGAATGCTCAAGAAATACAGAAGACTATTAAGGATTTTGTCATTGTATGATCTAGACTTTACCTTTAAAATTATCATAATTGGACAAATAACAACTAGAAGCTACACACAAGTTTAATCGCTGTGTTTCAGAATTTAAGGAAAAGTACTGAAATAAAAGGCATAAAATGTAACCTGTTTCTGAAGCATTATTTTTAATATTTTATTTTAACTAACATTTTAAGCATTTAAGTTTAAGTATACTGAGGCCTGCCATAGCTGTACTTATACAACCTGCGGGCAGGGAAGGCAACGTGCAATGAAAAAAGAGCAAGGTATAATATGAGGGGACAAGATTTTAAAGTAGATTATAGAATTCCACCCACAGAAACTGAATAAAAGTCTAGGCTATGGTTTGAGTTCTTTAACACAGCTTTTACAGTTGAATACAAGGGGACCGTACATTTTAGCATAGGAAACTTATCCAACAAAAGAATTCTCCTGCAGATGCTGCAAGTAAGGTTTCAGAAAGTAAGGATATTTAAAATAGAAGAAACTGACAAATCAGTATCAAAACAGGAAACTAAGCTGACCAACAGGCTTGGAGAGCCAGTAGGAACAGATCAGGTTTACAAACACACACTTCTACAGACCATTTCTGGAAGACAAATGGACACATTCAAACAGATAAGGTTATTTACCTAAGTATCAGCTAGATTATAACACATGATAATTTGTTCTCCAAAATTTAAAATTATTGCCAGATGCAAAATAAAGTCTAAAGTGCAAATGTCATTAATTTTAGATTATTCCCTCCCCTCCTCCCAGTCAGAGAGCATAAAGATAAAAACACATGTGCATGTGTCTGGAAATGCAATAAAAACATGAGTTATTTCCATGTTTGCCTGCCTACAGCTTCCACTGCAGTTTAAATTTGATTTGGAAAACAAAGCATGAATATGCATCGCAGCCATGAGGCATTCAGAACAAAGCCAGCATTTGCTGCTTGCGTTAATTAAACAGTTGATTCTCCTTGCCACTCAGGCCTTGGCATATCACATCAGAAAACAACATGTTTATAAATCCATTAATAGCTTGGATGTTGTATAAAGAGGTCATATACTAGAGGCAACAAACAAATTCATTCCATTACAGTTTACAAGCAAGTTTGGCTTTCTACTTCACATATAGAGGAAAGCGAGATGATGACAGAATATCTCCTTAAGTACAAAAGGGGATTTCTTGCATTCTCATTTTCTCAGAGAGTATGGAACCAGAGGTATGGGCACTTTTGTTTCTGTTGGGTTTTTTGGCTGTTGTTTGGGCTCGTTTTTTTTGACAGTTGTTTTGGTTTGTTGTTTGGTGGTTTTGTCTTAGCTACTGGACATGCAGACTGGGAAATACTCAGTAACAAAGGTGCCATTCTGTTAAACTCTTGGCATAAATAGAGGCCCTCTACAGCTATACATCTGGGAAATCTATGGAAACAGCAGGTAGGATAGTAAACAATTCTGTTTAATTATCATTCAGTTTTGCCATAAGCCACATAACAATACTTAGGGTCAGCTTGCAGGTTAAGAACTAAAAGGTTATTGAATTTTAAATGGAAGAAGAACAGCTGCTACAGAAATAACATTACACTACAGCAATCACCAATGAAATCATTTACAATCTGTGAATTGAATTTGTTTCCTTCTCTTTCTCATTATTTATTATTCGGGAGACATTTGTTTTAGGGTTTTATTACATCTTTGTTAATTTCTTCATTGTGCCATGAGGCATGTTCCCATTTATGCAAATTCATTTTAACCGTTTCTTCTTGGGTATAATTTCTTTGCTAAAGACTGAAATCACTGTGTCATAGTGGCACTACTGTTCTACTAATACTGTTTTTCTTTTTCAAACAATGCAGCTTAACCAGTGCATTTCTGCATTTCTGTACTTAGCAACAATACACTGTAAGCTCAGCTTTTGAAACAAATTTACTCTTACCACTTTGACAGCAACCTGCTAATACAATACCATGATACTGGTGGGGCTTTTGAGCAAAACTGGATTGAAAACCTAGCCTATCAGTAAAGTTGTACGTATCCTTACTATTAACAGAAATTGGCATGTTTCACAGCAAGATGAGAAATCTGGGGTTTTTTTACAATAATCCTCACCACTGATTACTTGTCCAAACAGCTCTTCTGGTGTATCTCCAAAGAATGGCACACACCCAACAAGAAATTCATAAAGGATAATTCCCATAGCCCACCAGTCCACTGGTTTTCCATAACCCTGTCTCAGTATCACTTCAGGAGCTATGTATTCAGGTGTACCACAGACCTAAAATAAAGAAAATAAGTGTATTAGTGAAACAAGTCTAATTGAGCTATGTCACATCACTGATAGCTTTTGAAACATAAAATAATATGGAAACATGGAAAAAAGGAATTCAGTAGGTTTTAGTCTGCTGACTTCACGTAAGTGGTAATGTTTTTAAAAAGACCTAGCTATGTTTACAGGCATCATAATGAAAATTTGTGGGTCTGTCATGCATAGGACAGTTTGAATTTTGCACATGGAAGTCCATCACGGCAAGTTATTTTATTTAACTTAAACATACTCTTATCTTTATTTGAAAGTTGTGATGGTTTTACCTTAAGTAACTTTTAAAGCGAACAGATTGTGAGCAATGGTAATGAGGCATGCTTAAAGGGAAATGGGCCATAGCAAGGATTTTAGCACCCTTGGTTGTACAATGCATAATGAGCTCCACAAGTACTCTGCTGAGACTCCTGAATTCTTTCTAAAAACAGTTTTCCATTTGTCTCTCTTTCAGATTCATTTGCACACAATTAGGTTGTTCATCTTACTAACAGATCCTAATGCAGAAAGAAAAAAGCTCAGAATAATCTGTGGGGTATCAGTAAAAGTAACTGACATACACAACTGGAACATCAATGCAGAAGTAACAACAGTTTATACAGTATTGTGGTACATTCCCCTTGCAAAACATTACTTCATTTGAACACTCAGTGTAGAAATAGGAAAGGCTGTCTCTTACTTGTTTGTCAAGGAATTCTCTGGCATCCTTCTCAATGTGACCCTCATACAGATTGGTAGTCAAACTCATTAGCCCCACCTTTGACAAGCCGAAGTCTGTAAGTTTTATATGGCCCATGGATGTTACCAATAAACTGTAAATTAAAATGATTTTAAATTACTGTGATGTAATTCAACATTATGTGGTGCTGATTACTACTATTATTATGACTATTATTATTATTAGAGGAAAATATTTCATTAGCACTGCAAAAATACAAAGACAGCTTGAAAAGAAATTTAACAAGGTACAAAATAAACAGGTTAAATATCCGAGTCTTACAGATTTTTACTATTGTTACAGATTGTTACTATTATCAGATGTAAACAGACTTCTTCATATGCAATTGCACAGCATCTTATAGAACCATACAAGTGTTGAGAGCCGAATGCTGTAGGTTTTTAAGAAAATAAACAGTCATCATCTGAAAGAACTATAATAGAATAAATGTTAATTTTTTTAAGTGAGGTGACATTTTTTGTGGGTCATTAATTTGAAAAAAAACCAGCAGGTATTAAGTTAGTCAGTAACTAATACTACACTGTCCTGATGTATCATGCTATGAAGCTACTGTCACTCAAGAAGCATGATCCAATTCTTTTTCTTTAAATGTGAAACATGAAGAAGATTAAAGAGTTGCAACTAACACACTTTTTACTGCAGCTACTTGCTGTAATGTTATTTATATGTATAGAAGCAACAGTTTCCTAAATATTGGAAAAAACAAACAAACAAAAAAACCCATGCAATAGGAAAGATTTCCCAACCTGGGCAATCTTGTCTTCATATATGCAAATATCTGCAAGCTGGTGATACTTAGTCATAAAACAGTGTTTTAAGCATGCTTAGAAAGATCTTTTCTTTAATGACCAAAATCAATTTCTCTCCATTCAGCCAGAACAGTAAATAATATTTATTTTTTTTTTTTTTTGCTACTCTGTTATCTCTTGCATCTTAAAGGTAGAACATTCAAAAGATCTCTTTTGGAAAAAAAACCCCACATTTTCTGTAATCACAGGCAGTGAAAAATTCAAATATTGTGCAGAAATCGTGAATCTACATTAACATTCTCAATTTAAAAAAAAACAAACAAAAATCAACAAAACATTTGAAGTACATTCAAAGGAAGTTTACACCTTTGGTATTTTATCTATTTTATCTAATAATTTCAAAGTCTTCTTTTGAGCATATTCTATACACGTACTTGTCTGGTTTCAAATCCCTGTGTACAATTCCGTAATTATGAAGGTATTCCAAGGCCAGAACAGTCTCTGCAAAGTACATCCTTGCCATGTCTACAGGTAAAGGACCCATGTTCTTCATCAAAGTAGCACAGTCTCCACCTGTGGAAACAGAACAAACGTTTCAGATGACCTATAATTCTGAGAAGTATCAGTATAACCCATATATGCTGCAGAAAGAGACACAAACCGCAGTCACAAATGTTTATTTTCCAGTCAAATGATTCAATTGACCATGTAACCATACCAACTATTGTACTGGAAACACAGCATGAAGCTGGGAGTGAGCAGTTCAAGGGTTCAACTGGAAACCAATAAAGTCTGTGCTGCTACAGGGGGAGGGGGCAAAAAAACCCCAACCCCACACAACTATAGGCTGGGTATCTCATCTTGCACTGCCTCTGTCCACTGTCTCCTTCAGCAACAGCACCTTTTCAAATTGCTTCCTCTTCTCTCTTTCTTTGTAAAAATAACTAGTAAAAATACCCCAACATGTGCTAATGAAAATTTCAACTCCAGAAAAGCAAACAGCATTTCTACATAAACTCTGAACGCTAGGACACTTATGATTACAGTCTATGAGGAACTTATTCAAACAGCAGTTACTTCCCATTATAGCTGGAGCTCAAGTGTTTTACAAGCTCCCTCTGGAAGATGACTGGAAAAAAGCCACCTTGCTGTTGGATTTAGATCCTAAATCTGTATTGCCAGAGTACAGAGGACCCAAGGAAGCCTTTCTAATGCAAGTACCATACAAGTTATTTTTCTTTCTTGTTGTAAGAAAAAGAAAATAGGGCAGCTACTTTACCTTCTACATATTCCATGACCATACATAAATGACGTCTTGTTTCAAAGGAGCAATACATGCTGACTACAAATGGATTTTCTGCAAATGTCAGGATATCACGCTCAACAAAGGCCTGTTGGATCTGGTTTCGGAGGATGAGATTCTGCTTATTAATTTTCTTCATGGCAAATCTTTGTCTGGTTTCTTTGTGTCTCACAAAATAAACCGCACTGAAGAAGTTCAAATGAGGGAGAGAAAAGAAAAACTCTGAATACCTACTAAAATATATATTTTAAAAACTTTTTTTTAAAACAAATAATTGTATTTTTTAAAACTGCATATGTATTATATAAAGGGCTTATGTTTTCTTTAATGTAGTTGACCTGCCTTTGACATTACAGAATGGCAGCTATAAAGCTCATTTTGTTTTATAATCAGGATGAATCTCAGTCAACAAAAATTAGTACACAAACTAAAACCAAACTCCCTCCTGCCCTGTGTCCCAAAGCCAAACAACAGATACAGCAAATGCCCCCCAACAGACATAGCAAATGCTCTCAACTCAGGCAGATTCTGGGCGTTTCCATCAACAAAGGATTATATACAAAACCCAGCTATGGCACATCATTATAAAATCACTCTTACAAATGCTTATTCTGCTAGTGTGTTGTCAGATAATTATGACTCAGATTCCATCCAGGAGATTTTAAAACCTGTCACAGGTTTCTCGTGAGGTTTGCTCCAAAGTTGTTTGACGGAGTGGCTCCCTTGTTGCCAGGTGTTAACTGTTCTGTTCTTTTCCAGTCCCTAACACCAGCATTGATCCATATCAGGGGCAGGTAACCAGGAGGTAATCCGAAACAAAGATCACTGCATTAACCGCATGGTAACATGGGGTTAAGATGTACCTTGACATGCAGAATTTCCACTGGTGGGTGTACTGGGTACTGAGTTTCCTGTAAGCTTGGTTAGATAAGGTCAAGGCAGGGAAGCCAACTGAAAGAAAACCTCGCATGTACAAGCCTCCTTTCTTTCAAGGCTCAAAGAATCATCCTGCCACGGAACACTAACACAGGATGTTACTGCTGCATTTCTCAAAATCCCTTGAGGCAAATCATGAAAATGTTTGCCTTACTTGAAAACTACTTTGTAGCATTTAATGCTTACAGCATGTCCAGTATATAATTACTATAGCAGTGTTTACAGAAAGAAAAGACTACAAGGAGAAAATGGGGGGGAAGGAGGGGAGACGGGGAATGGGACTCAATTAGGTTGGTTTTAAATTCAGTTTGTTGTCCCCATGAGGTCCAATTATCAGCATACAATTATTTATTTAAACAGAAAAAGCAATTCTTGCCTTATTATTTCTGTGAAGACCTTCCCACAGCTACCAAGTTACAAGCACTGAAAGTGTCAACATGTTTCTGTGTTGCTTTGCAGACAAAAGCTTTTTCTATAAAATAAAGTTTCTCTTACTGTTTCCGAAAGTTTTCATTAATCCCTTGTTTTTGTCTGTGCACAGGGCACGCAAAAGATATTACACCATTATGAAAGTAGGGGAAAACCACCTTGGGCAAAACTCAAGACAAACCCCACCCTTTGTGACTCCTACGAAGTCTCTCTCTCTTCTGCCCCTCCCAAGCTGGAATAACCGACTGAGTAATTCAGCTCCAGTACTCCTCCCTGCTGGCTTCATGCCTTTTGTCCTCCTGTACCTCTTCCTACCCCTCCCCTCATGCTCACTTATCTATCCACCCCTTCATTACAACTTTTCCTTTGCTTTTCTCTCCCTTACATTCTTGTTTTCCTCTCTCTCATTTTGTTATCTCCTGTTAGTCAGTTTTAGCTTCTTACTCCTGTGTAATTTCATCTCTGCTTTTCCCTATTTCGGTCCCCTTGTGCTCTCCTGGCATGTAGAAAGTGAACCCTTCAGATGCCTGAAGCTGTAATTCTTAAAAAAAAAAAAAAAAAGAAAAACCAAAAAAACAAAGGTTACATGAAAAAACTGAGGCCTGCCTGAGGGCTTGGCATGCAGATCTTTCTCAGAGCTTTTAATTTGGACAGTGTGCCCAGATGAACTCCTGAGAGACAGATATTAACCATTACAAATTACTATAACATCTTAATAAATCTCTGCAGATTGTGTGGATCTACAGGATCATTACTAGCATATTTAAAGATGAAGAACCAGCAAGTTCTAAATACTATCTAGACCAGTAACTACCAGGGACATGCTGGCTATGTTTCACCAGCTCTCTAAATCCCATCCTCCAGTTGTACAGTCACAGGCAGGTAACTGTGTTACTTTCCACTGGGATTCAGTTATCTAGAATTCCTCAGAAAAAAAACCCCTGTTTAATTCAAGTTTACCAGACCCACGAGACAACTGCAACACAATTGTCCCTCTCACATTTCCAGAGACATACACTGTTTATGTGATACTATGTGCTTTTAAATGATCCTTGACATACAAAAATGTTGAACAACACTTATTCACATCCTCTGATCATAGAAACTGCAGCAAACAGCATTTATGCTTTACAAAGAAAACTATGCCTTAGCCAGCAGCATGTTATTCAGTACACTAAACTAAGCACGTTGCAACAACTGTGCCCGAGACTGCCTCTGACACTGGGGTGTCCTCAGCTCCCACCGTTTTAAAGTTGTAAGTAAAATGATCAATAGAAAGTGAAATATTCCCAAACAGTTAAATAAAGATGTATAAACTGCCTGGACTTTAAAAAAAGAAAAAAACAAAAAACAACAGAAATCTTACATGTTCCCGCACGTAAGTGCAACTTCAACTTAATCTAAGTGGAAAGGTTGGAGTAAAGCACACATCTGCTGAGACACAATGAACTTAAGAGGTAGAATGATGGCAACAGTCACAGTAGTTCTAGCACTTAACAACTTTGTCTTGGGTAATTCTGAATTCTGATTTGCCACTCGTATGCCTCTGTTATTGCATAACAACTTACCATGTAGATTTTGACAGCCTTCTAGTTTCTGTTCACTCTACCTGAAGCTGTCTCGATTCGTTCTCATAATCCTGCATTGAATGTGAGCCTTGCTTTCTGCCCCACACAGGCCCACTATCCTACATGTCTCTATTTTTCATAATACTACAACTGGAGCACTAGACAGAAGTTCATCTTTGTTTTATATGTACTTTTAAGAAAGAGAACACCACCTCATTCCTGGTTTCTTGGCCTTGGCCATTAAATGCTTCTTATGATTTTCAGTATATTATAGAAGCAATTGTAAATCTGAGGATCGGTTAACACAAAAGCAATGTATTAAGAACATCCAGACCATCCAATTGTTGTGTCAATCCATTCAATGCCAGTGGTATGCCCTGTCTGCCTGCAAAGCCACAGACTGGCGTTGTCTTTACTATCTCCCCCTTTTCTGTTTTCATAACATGGGCCCAAGAGATTTCCAAAACATCCTCTGAATTCACTATATGGATGTCAACAGGTACACAAGTGCTCTGTATTTTATTGATGCTGTGCTTCAACATAGCAATAAAGTTTCCTTTTCAAGAAAAGTAACAAAAATCATTGGCATTATTCAAACTTTACTTTAGTCCCTTAGTCTACTTCCAACATAAATCTTAGCTTTAAAAAGTATCACTAAAATACCTTTAGCTAGGCACAAATATAAAACATTGCACATGTGCGTTAAGATGACCAAAATGAATGTTAAGAAATTTAACTAGGTTGCTGAATTGCTCAAACTTAAATATTATGCAAGCTATCTCTCCAATCTTACAACCAAGAGTCCTTTTTTTTTTATTCTGAATCACTTACAGGCTCCAGGCCTAGTTTACAGCACTTCAGTAACTTCATCTTCTAGAGCCATTTTACAGTCTAGTCTACATTCAGTGCTTGAGGCTAACGTAGCTGTGCTGCTTGCTTTGACCTGATTCTCTAATTTATCAAAGGACCTTGAACTCCTTGTGGAAACACAGGTACTGTACTTACTGCTTAAAAGTTACAGCTGCTCACTAGAAGCGGTCTTTCATTTTCACAGCCAATTTCCTTGGCTGTGAAAAGGACAGACTTCTACCCTCTGTACTACCCTGGAACAAAGTCCAAAGTTGCCTCTAGTGAAGAGGAGCCACTTGTGAGGGTGTGATTCATGATACGGCAATGTGGTAAAGTTAATGGAGAGTTATTTAAGATGACAATTTACAAGCAGCACTGCACCACCTCCTAGCTAGGTGATGCCCATGACCAGGTAGGATTTATCTGGGGACAGGGTGAAATGAGGCATAAAGCACTACAGCACTCCTAACATGAGCATCCAGTGCGGTGTGGGTCTTCCAAGCCCCGGGACAACGTGCACAGCCTCCTCTCAGCAATATTTCAGACTTACCTTAGTCTGCCTACAAGCAAATGAGAAACTGGCCATCTGAAGAACAGAGCACGACAGCTGTGATCCTTCTCTCACAACTTGTACCAGCCCCCCTGCCATGGGCTGGGACACATCGCACTAAACCATGTCACCCAAGACTCCATCCAACCTGGCCTTGAATACTTCCAGGGATGGAGCATTCATAACTTCCTTGGGCATTATGTTACAAATTTTGACTAATAAAACCACCTCTCCATACCTAATAGCAGCCCCTTCTATCTTATGGCAACTAGTAAACACAGATGCAAAGTGATGAAGCTGCTGTTCCTATGGGTAAACTGTTCCATACTTGTAAAAGAAACACTTGAGAAACTGAGCTCTTTACCAGTTTGTAGCATGCTTCCCACTCAGGAAGGACAGAATTCAAGACTTTCAATAGTAACAACCTTCTCTGCCACCAAACAGGATTGCACTAGGAGTCAGTTGTAGATCCTCACACATTATTAATGACAAAGGAAAGATAAGGCACTTTGCCTGTGTGCTACTGGAAAGGGAAGTTCACTTGAGGGCAGTACAGTACACGAGTTCAAATTTCATCAGACTCTACTTTTTAAGCTACTCTTCAAAGCTACGAGCTCCTAGGAATCGAAGCCACTTACCTGCACAGACCTGTCACCCACAGGGATAGACAGGAAAGAAGGAAAGTAATACAGCTCATCAGACCTGTAGTCCATTGAGAGTTGGTGCTACATAAGTGAACCGGACTTCCCCTTGACCCCTTCCAGTTCTGAACTGGTGTCTGCCAGGCTGCTGATGAATCAGCCTGATTGACAGAGTGTTATTCTGCAGCTGGGTAGTTTTTCTACTCCCATTCTCAATGCAACTACACATGAGCAAGTACAGTCACTTGAATGGAGAAGGGACAAGAATGAGTACTCATAGGTTATGGGCAGCAGCTGCTCAAGCCAACATGACCTCAAGTTTTTAGGTTTATCAAGCAACACCATTGGCCAGTATGTCACATATATATCGACATTACCATCTTTGTAGAAGTAAAAGGATTCCAGGCAGGCACAAAAGAAGTATCATGTACATGCTTTAAGCAGATGCAGTGATACATTAATGAAGAGCAACTGAACTAACATCACTCGCTTCCCTGAAATCAAATGTAATCTTTATTTTGTTGAGCTAGTCCAAGGAACCAGGCTGATGCCAACTTGAATAGATGGACTACTACTGCCTGCTACCTCTTGAAAGCTGCAATATGGAAAAAATGTTGCTGTGTTTGCAGTAAAAAAATTAAATTTGGAAAGTAGGAAAAGTTTTTGGCTGGCTGAAAGAAGTCAGATAGACAGCTTGTGAAATCATTAATGACTTGGCCAGCATCCTACATGTTTACTGATTCACAGCTTGTTTAACTTCTTGTATATTCGTAGCCATTCCCAATAGCCTGATACACCTCATCTACTATACAGTCATTTAACTGCACTACAAATGAGTTTACCCAATCAATTAAAAGCACAGAACTGCTAAGATATTTACTCAAACCTTCACAAAACCAATAGTTTATATTTAAACTCATTGAGTTTAACACATCTGACAAATCTCTGCTACACCATGCCAAGCCCAGCAATTACCCTGTCAAGCAGTCAAAGCTTTCCATTTCACTAATGAAGGCAAAAACACCACAGCAAAATCAAAGACAGCAGAATGTTGGCTTTTTTTTTTTTTAATTTGTTCAGAATGAAACCCTCCATTATAGCCTCAAAATACATAAACTATTACAATAGCATACTGAATCTTTAATAAGTCAGTGCACAGAATATGCCCACTGACATATTTTTGAGAATAAATCAATGAAACACAGACAGAATTCACACATATTTAGGTTATTTCAAAAAATTAATGGCCTGGAAAAACATGGATGCAGGGGGAAAAGAAATAATCCTTGTAGCTAACAACAGTAACTTTTATTTCAGCTGCTTATAAATAAACTGCAATAAATGCCTATGGGGCAGTTGATGGCTTTGTATTCACAGATGGAACAGGTATTATTGTTTTATTACTCCCCATTTTGTAGATGAGTTAAAGAGCATTTAGGTTATCGTGATGTGTTCCTCTTTAAACTTGACCATAACTTTTAAGTAGATTAACCACCAATCCTACTGATGCTAACAGAAAGAACACGTAATAAAGATCAAAAAATGGTCTGTCGATATTACGGTCCCACTTACCTGACATTCCACAGTGGAGATCTTCAAGCACACAGATAGTTTTGAAGAAGTGATAGTCCAGAGAATTTAGGAGCACAAACCCACTCAACTTACAGTAGTTGGGTGGTGGTGACTAGGTGCTAAAATCAGTTTTAAAAGTGAGTACTTTCAGAATCTTATTGTCTCGCAGTTCACTGTGTTCCTTTCCCTCTACATTAATTAGTAAGGGGCTGTACCTTTGTTTTGTTTCTTGTTCTTGACTTTTAAGAAGTAACCATTTAAAACAAAAATCCAAGCCAACAAAATCTACTTTGTTATTGTTTGCTTAAGGATGGAAGTAATGGCACCCTACTAAACTGATGAGATTTTCAGTTTCAACTTCTTATACCACAGTACAACCTGCCAGCCTCCCCCTGTTTCAACACTTGCTAAAGAGAATAATGATTCATGCAGAATTCAGATTCATTCCAAGATACTCACCCTCTTCTGAGCTCTCCGTTTCCTCACAAAACTATCAGCGTCTCATCCAATTTTTATAACACTTATATTGCTAATTTAGCATATTATTTGCATTAAAAAGGTGTTTCAGAAGTATTGATTTTCCCTTCCACAAACATGCGAAAAAATAATTCTACATGCCTACATCATGTGTGCCATAGAAAGCCATGGCTTTTCATCCCTTCTTTTCCAGCTTTTTAGACCGTTCGTCTCCAGTTTCAAATGGACAGTTGTCTCCAGTCTGTATTTAGTGGTTCATCAAGGCTCCTTGCGTTTGTAACACCAATGGAGCATGAGCCACAGGCCTACCAAACGTCTGACTTTAGAGCCTAGCCTCAAACTGCTGGCTGCAGCATGCCCTTCTGCAGCTGCTCCCTCAGCATTCTAGACTGCTGGGAAGCTGGGCAGGTGTAGTGACTTGGACACCCTTTTGTCTGATGGGGACCCATTCCACACCATTCTTCTTATGCTCCTTCAGTAAGACAAAGAAGAAATTGGGTAGGAGATGAAAGGAAGAATGGAGGAGACTAAGGATCTGCCAAATGAAGGAGAAAGGGGTGCATGCAGGGAGGGGAGCAGCAGCTACTGCTAACTGCTGGAAGACAGGCTTTTGAAGTCCTGGGGTAGTTGGGAGAAACAGGCACACAGTAAGTAATGGGTTTGCCTGGGGAGAAATTCTGAGAAAATTAATTGTGCAAGTTGACCAGTGAGAATTTTTATTTGGGTATTTACATAACTTTAATGCAAATTATGCTATTCCCTTCAGGCTTTCTGCTGAGCTATGTAAGCAGGCCTGGACACAAATAATAGTCTCCACAAGTGCTATCACGACCCACAGTACCAGGCAGAACCAAATGCCTCCTGTCCCACCGCTCAAGGTTACCTTTAACTACGTGTGATCAGAAAACGCTACTGTGCTCATCAGCCTCAGGCCATTAAACCAGCAAAATTTGACTGGTAGACTGCAAGTGCTTTCTCTTCTATGTTCATGGTGCCCTCAAAGAGTGCTTCGTCTGACTCAGGTTGCTGCTGCTTCCTACCTCAAGCAGAGGTAGCGCAGAGAAGAACCAATCTAATGAGTTCTGTGCTGGAGAATAGCACAGCCCTCTCCACTGCCAGGCTGTGACATGGTCTCATTTGGCAATGGGCTCCTCACCTCAGGTCAGAAGCCTCTCTTTTCTGAATGAATACATCCCTCCCGGTTCTGCAAACAGGTTACATAGACCAAGAGCTTCTGTCCTGATACGTTTCATTTCAGAGTAGGAGCCAATCAGAGGTCTACTAGTATGTGATCAGAAAAGGTGACTAAAGACAGATTTCTGCCTGCTGAGAGACACAATCCCTCCATGGTACTTCCAGAAAACATTTGGTGTTCATTTGAAGTCCAGGCTAACATACTTTCTGTTGGTCTTCTAGGATATCTCCAAACGACTCGCATACCACTGGTCAGTAAGCTATGTACCTTCCAAGTACCCAAAACTAACCAAGTAACAGCAATTCCTTGAAAGCTAATGGGTTAAAATTTGAAGATGAAAGAGTGTCTGCAGAAAAGCAATAAAACAGTGTTGCCCTACTTAAGGAAATTTGCTTCTACTTCACCAGTATGTTTAGGTCAACTAAGCAGTCATTTTTAACAATCTGTCTCCCTACAGATGCAGTTTTATTGTCTTTCACATCTGCATAAACACAGACTGTTTCCACTATTGTAAAGGTGGCTTTAAATCTGCCTTTTGATTTATTCATATTTCATCTTTGGCATTACACAATACATACTTCTGAAAAATCTTTGTGACGTGATACTCAGTATTTTAATTTACTGCAGCGCACAGTAAGTCATTATTGCCTAGCAAGCTTTTCAGAAAGTTTTTCTTGTGAACTTCAAGTATTAGCAATAAAACCAGAAAACAGAATGAAAAAAATCAAGCAGTGCAAACAAACTCCCTCACATAAACATCTCTGCAATAAGCAGTAATGGGAAGTTAAGAAAATACAAAATGTTAAAGAGCTGTTGCACTCGTGAATTACTCACCCATAAGCTCCATTACTAATCAGTTTAATTGTTTCAAAATCACTTTCCCGAGGCTTTCTCTGCAGCTTCAGTGAGGTATTAGAGCTCTTCAAAGTAAAAGAGGAGAAAGAACAAAGTTAATACAGTACTTTTTTCAAGATCAAGGAAACCTAAAAATCAACCAAAAAAAACCCTTAACCTATCACCAGGCTGTCATACCCTGATGAACCACCTGAAAGTTCTGTCCAGTTAGGCAGAGTCCAGAGTTACAGACTTAGGTGAATCCTACCAGGCACTTGTTGTCCATTGCCTTCTCGTTTTAGTAAACCTGACCATGGTATTACAGCCTGGTAGTAACAAAACGTAGATGAGTTCTCATTCACTCAAATAAACCTCTGCACATTTCTAACTAATGTTAGGATAGACTGTGAAAAGAGACATAAAATGAAAGAGAAAAATATAGAGAATAAAAATGCATCAGTTCTATCATTATGGAGGTCACTTTCACCCATTTGCATGCCAGAAAATTTTCAAAATGGCATTGTCCTGAGTGCCGCACAACCTTTTTTCTAGCTTTAGTTTTTAATTAGTCTTGAAGATGTGTGAATTAGAATTCAGGTGGAGGGGGGGTGATGAGGGCATGGACTCCATATACGGTCTTCCAAAACCCACAAGATCCTTTTCAAAATGTTTTCCAAATCTCCAAGAAGTTCTACGATCCCTATCCAGGCAGTTTGGCAATAAAGGTTGAAAACAGAGCTGGTTGGAACATTTTTAATTAAACTCTTGCTGAAGAAGATTCAGTGCAAGAAGATTAGTGAATATGTTAATATAATAAATTACACAGGAACAGAGATAATTTATTAAATTGTTCAGCCCACTTGCCTGCCAGTACAGGATTCTTCCTAACTGTGTATTTATGATTATTTTAAATGGTCCTGTACTTTAAAGTTATGCTTCCTGTCACTTCCCATGTGTGTTTATTCCACAGCTACACTTTAAGGAAAGTATTCCCAAATACTCACCCTATATTTTTCTTTACTGACTTCTTTACATTGCTTTGTTACACTGCATTAACCTTTCTGTATTTTTTTCAACATTTGCACAACACAAGAAGCTTCACAATTGCAATTTCTTAGCTATTGCTAAGCCAGTTTGCACTTTAAATTCTCCTAAGCACTTCAGCACTTCATTTAAATCTCCTAGTTGTTATTTCTCCAAACTGTCAGTATCCTTCCACCAAATACTGCTTAGGTCTAATACAGATGAACAGAATAAGAAACGCCCTTCATGTCACAACTCTGGAAGCCTTTATAGATGGCATTTGCTAGAAAGTCAGAAATTATCTCAAGGTAATACGACATGTACTAGAGGATGATGTCTTTTCTGTAGCATAAGAGAACTATTATAACAGATACCCCATGCCTGGGTTTTAAACTCTAATATTTGTAAGCATCTGTAAAGTACCACTGAATAACTACGCATTCCTCAAAATTGTACTTGCCTTTTCTATCCACTTGCACTGAGAGTTGATGCTAAGTTGTCAGGACTCTATCTACTGTTGACTGAAATCCAAGGTATAAGAAGCAACTTTTAAAAATAAGAATTTCAACTGAGAGCATTTAATCCCACAATGTTCAGACCAACAACCTCCTCCAACTTGTTTTTCTTTTGCCAACCTAAACAAGCATCTGACAAAATATTACTGTAAGATACCCACTATGGTAGACAAGAATCTTTTAACATAGATTCAGAAGAACAATGCACCATCTTTCAGATTGCAAGCTAACTTTCTGAATCCAGACTATTTGCTATATTGCTCATTTCTTCCTTGTGTCTTCACTGGAACTGTTCAGTCTCTCAGTTTGATCATTAGCTGTTTTAAAATCTGTTTAAAAAAATTTATTTTCTATGAAATGGTTTAAAAGCCCTTATGAAAGAAAAATCAATACATTAATTAAACAGAAATAAAGAAAACAGTGATGAATTTTGTGGTAAAACAATTGCCACATGGTAAACACTAACTTTGTGGAAGCTAAAGATACTGCAACATCTAGAAAAACAGGAAGTTTTGTGCTACTGGTTTTTGTGAGCCTCCTGTCTACTGAGCACCATGGCATTAGTCTGAGGATTAACCACTGTTCTATTCAATCTCTTTACACATACCAGGAGAAAATAAAACCAGAGGGAACACAACACATCTATTTTTCCTTGCTCAGATTCAGTAAAATCAGCAACATAACATGAAAACTTACATTTATTGATTCATCCCCTTCCAGATTTTCTGCTGTCCCACTGTCACAGTTAGCTAGCTGAGCTATTTCTGGAAACAAAGATTAGAAACTTCATTTTAAGCACAGAAAACCTGAAAAGTGACTCTTTTCTGGAATACCTAATGAACATTCTGTCCTATCTGTAGTACTTGCAAGTAACTTTAAGGGCATCTCCAAGCATGTACAAAATTATCCCAGCCAGAAAATGAAGACATGCTATTCAATGCCTACATAATCTTCCACTGAAAAATCTTAACAGCCATAAAGTGATGAAGAGCAGTACTGTTACCATTGCTGAGGGGTGGGAATTCTGAGATCTACGTGTGATCTGAGCATTAAGGGCAAGACAGCAGTAATCTGTTAAAACTCCCAGAGATCTCAGCCCCTGAGGGATTAATAGTATGCTGCATCCTTGTTGGGCTCTTTCACAGTTAAGAACAAAATTCTTCTAGTTTAGACAGAGATGGACTCATATCGTTTGCATCCTCTACACATAAATGCTAATATGCTTAACACAATAAGATAAAAGCCATTTTCTTAGAAGCTTATCATTTATGGGGTCACTAACAGAGATGACTTCTCTGGGAAACAGATTTTTTGACTCTATAACTTGACCTGGTTGTCCCTGTCAGAGTCAACCTATGCTTATGCTGCAGAGCTCTTAAGCCTTTTCTGTTCTTCAGGAGACAGTAACTAAGAATTCATCTCAGTAATAAATGCTAAACAGGACAGCTGGTAGCTAAAAGACCCTGGGAAGCTTAGCATTACTTTAATCTTACATGTAGTTAATTATATACTCCACATACTCAAAGTTGCATATATTATTGTAATTATGTGCTGGGGATCAGAGATACGACCACCTGAAATCCGTGAGGTGCGTTTTTATCTCAGGACTGTTAACTGAATTTATGAATATGAAAAATAATTGAATATTCACGCAGAATAGTTAAACTGGATTTTTCTATATAATAATAAGTGACTATTACAAGTGACATTCTGCCCAACACTCACCGTAATCATTAAAAGCAAATTAATCACACAATTGTCTGTTGGAACAGCTAAAGATTTAAGAAGTAACTCTGATTTGGAATCACTAACCAAAACACAACACGTGTAAAGTATAAGAATCAGAAGTAATTAAAATGTCACTTCAAAACCCAAACAGATCTTTAATCTGTTAGAGAAGCTAAAAAGATTTAAAAAATTCTGAATATGAAGTCAATAGAAGTATCTCCACTGAGAACAAATAAATCTTTAAAAAAACCACAAACAAACAAACAAAAAAAAAAAGAGAGAGAGAGGAAGTGCCTAAGCTAAAATGACAGATCGAACTTGAAACTGGAGTGGATTTCCCTGGCAAAAGTCACAGTTTTGTGAATGCGGTGTTTTTATATCAGAAGTGCTGACGAAACCTTTATTGTACGGGTGAGTACCAAGCAAGCTAGAATAATATACTCTGACAGCCTTCTCAACTGAAATTATTTTCATAAATAGAGAATTAAAATCAGCCATTTTTAAACAGAACTTTTGCAGAATTACCATTATCTGAGGAATACATATTATTTGCAAGCAGTAGGTAATAATGGAACAGAACCAGGCATCAGCTTTTGAAATGGGGAGCTACGGAACCATTTTGCAATGCCTGAAGAGATATTTAAAACTCATCTAAATACCATTAAACATCTGCCCTTTTTCTTTCATTGATTTAAACCATTTCTGAAGACTCATGATTCAAAAAGGTAAAGATGGTAATTTAAAAACCATGGGGAAAGATTTCTCCCTGGGGAACTCTTCAAAAATGCAGCCACCAGTCTCTGCTAAGTGATGAATCTGCTCTGGTATTGCTTTCAGTTCAGTATAAATTTGTCTAGCATTATCTCCAAGTAATACATGCATCATTTCACTCAAAGAAAGGACACCATAGCTTTAGCAGCGAACAAAGGAGGTAAGTATAGAAAGGTATAAAAAAGTAGGTTGCTCTTCTCTGCAGAGGAAGTAAAATACGTGAACATTTATAAACATTGCAGACATAATTTAACAGATTACTTGAAAACACAATTCTATGTTTCAGGATAATTGGTGTAACTGAGGTGGGTTTTCTTTGTTTTGAAATATTTGGTTCTGCTATTTTAAAATTTTCTATTTTTGCATAGAAAGAATTTAAATATCTCTCAGGAGGATGATCTTAATGTAGTATTTTTCATAATAATTAATAGTTTAAAGAAAAAAATCTTTCTGAACTGTTAAAACTTAGATAATGTAAGAAGTCATTGTACAGTGATTTATGCTATTTATAAGCATCACTTTTTTTAAGGAGGCAGGAAAGCATTAGTATGAATCACATGGCCTGAATTATTTGATTACAAATCTATACACACATTAACATATAAAACGATACACTAAATAATTCAACCACCCAACTCTCCAACTGAACCAAAGATCAGTAATCCATACATCATACACCCCTTTAGTATTTAGTGACAAACTACACAGCCCACTTTTTCCTCCTTTAAAAAAACCAAACCCAAACACCACATTTCAACTATCCTTGAATGCTTCGAAGTTTGTTTTACATTAATATTCAATTTATGAACTGTAATTATGTGTCCTAGATGAAGTACTCTCACATAAAATAAGCACTTAGTCTGAGAAAACAGTATCCCTTATTTGTATAAAGCATGCATCACTGGACCTCTTTTACAATAAACTGTTTTAAAAAGTTCAAAGGTATTATTAAACTTAGGTAGTGTCCAATTCTTAATTTAAGCAGAGAAACACTTAGAGGTCACAAAAAATTAATTAGCACGAGCAGGTCCAAGTGGCAACCAGGGTCAATTATACTAAAACCTCAACAAACATTCCAAATTAAACCTTGTATACTTAATCGATGAAGAATTTATGAATTGCGAAGTCTAGGCCAAATCTAGCCCTCCAAATCCAGAAGGCACCTCTTTATCTTGCAGAAAACTGAGCTATTTCTCAATCTCTTCCAGTACCACATGGAAAATAATACATACGTGTATTTTCCCAATTCGCCTGGCTTCTTTGCTGCACTCTGAATCCAAGCAAAAACAGTCAGACCTGCTTTAATCTCTATCTCAGATAAAAATAATACTAGATTTGGATGAGGAATTTCTTCTGTGAAGGCAGGAAGCAAAATAATAATAGGTTTGACTGTCTTATCTGTTAGCGTAACTGGAATATAATCTATAACAGTATCCAATCTAATTGAATTAGATCTAACAAAATTCCTGACAACATCTAGCAATGCTGAACTTCACAAGCTGTTGAAGTTGAACAAAGAAGAGTTTTCTTTTAACACACAATACACTGATCCTTTAAGGAAATGTGATCTTGCATCATGAAAACTGGTTTAAAATAAAAAATAAAAAAATTAATTGTGGCATTTTGCTGTTGTGTTATCAAGTGATTGCCTAGAGATCATCCACATCCTGGGTCATAACACAGAAGATAAGATAAGCTAACCAGCATGAGCTAGACTCATTTTCTATGATGGCATTTCTACCGATTTCTTCCAATTGTAGGACTAGCACTGAACACAATGAACCAATTTCCATCTGTCACCCGTGATAGAACGTGGTCTCAGGATGAAAAAGATGATGGTCTGGTTAGGAGACAGAAGTAATTTTAGTTTTCCCCAGTTTTCCCCATGCTGTCCTTAAAAGACAAACAGAAATTTCTGCAAACAGAAATTCTGCAGTTGCAATACCTTCAATTGGAACCCGAATTCTCCCTACAAAAATCCTCAACATGGACACATAAATTACCCGGAAAAATTAGTATTTGCAGTTTTAATAGGAATGGGAGATATTCTTCTCAGGGACTCTAAGATGTGGAAGCCTGGCGGCACTGAAGGACATATAACAGCTCAGTCCAGGTTTTGTTTATACCTATGGTTGGTTCACAGTCACCATCAAGTTATACCAGTAAATCTCAGCTAGAGCTGAAGAAAGAAAGTTGCATTGCCAGGCTGGAAGAAGATGACAAGTATCACTGACACAGTGTGTTTGTGAAAGATGCTCACAATAGAAAAATCTCAGATAGCCATTTTAATGCCTTTGAGCTAGTGAGGGTACTGTGAGGGTCAGCAAATGCTCGTTCTGCTACCATTTTTACTTTAACCCTTTTCAAGTACAGAGATTATCAGAATGATTAAACACATTGAGAAGGAAGAATCTAGGTACCTATAGCTGGACCAGGAGATGCACTTACCTTCCAGAGGATCTTTATTTAAGCCCAGCTGGCTAATAATGTATCGAGGGATGTCTGTTTTAATGCCTTGTCCCTCTTTAGCATGGCCTTCAGCTGCTTCCAAAAGATAGTAAAACTCTTCGGGATCAAATTCCTAGGAAAAAAATCATCACCATCATTCTCTCTGTAGAAATGGAAGTCTTGAAGTCCAACATAAAACTTCCTTTGCTTCTTCTATTGCAAATATTTGTCATTTCCCTTACTGAAAACAATATCTCTTTATTTTATTACTCTGTTGATAGAGTAGTCTATTACTCTAATTCCTATACAATGTGACACACCAAGAAATTTCATGCCACTGTTTTAGAGCACTAGCTTGTAAGAATAATAAGTTCACTGCCCTCAAAACTTCCTATAATACGTAGAGCGAAATGCCCTATAACCAGCAGCAATAAGATTTCACATACAGAAGATTATCTCCCTACAGCCGCCTGCATGTAAAAATCCACTACTAAAATTATGTAAATATATTGCGCTCCCCTTTGATTCTAAATGAAATTCTAAATGAAATTTTCAAGCATTTTTAATCAATACATATGTGCTATGTTTTGTGGAAAAATTAAATAAATCACTAACTTTAGAACAAAGCCAAAATTATAAGTTGCTGAAAATAACCTCTGAACTTCACTGATCCAATTGTTTCAAATCTAGAAATTATACACTCTCCTTTGGGAACCAACTATATTACAACTATCATTTATACTATGCCTAAAAGACAAGCATCAAAGAGGAATAAAAAACACAAACTCAAAACCTTGCCTATCCCCCAAGTCTCTTGGAAATGCATTTATTTTACTTCCTTCATAGATGATAAAAATAGGAAAGTATTGAAAGGAGCAAAGAAATTTCTAGAATGGTTTGTTGTTGTTTTTTTTTTTAAAAAAAAAAGCAGACTTTCTCTATGTACAGGTAGGAATTCATACCAAAACATCTCCCACACAGCCACTGCAATCTTCGAGATGTTCGTGCCAGCCATAGATCACAACAGGTACAATGCTTAATACAGCAAGAGCCAGTCAGAGACATGAAACATTGACATAACAAAACAGGACTTTTTCCTGGAGTAAGTCAGTGCTGTCAAAAATATCTGTGGAAGCCAGGCAGACTGCTGAGCTAGTTAGCTTCCCTGATGGTCATTCCGTAGCCTGCCATAACTCCATGGGGCTGCAGCTTGCGTGCTGGGTCACAAGGCTCCTGTCCTAGCTCCTCAGCCTACCCAGGACTTGGGAATGTCATGTCCCACCCTGGAAGATAGCTTGAGAAACTAAGTATCATGTTTCATTTTGGAAGCATTCAAACTACTGTGGCTACCAGTGGGAGTTGCAGTGCATCTGAAATAAAAAGTCTTTGGAATTTTCAGTCTTGTGGAAACAATCTTAAATCCATTTGTCATGAAACTATTTTCATCATCTCCAGCCTACTCCAAAGGATTTAGAAGAAACCCGACGAACATGAACTGCTCAAACCCTCTCATTGAGCTCAAAGTCTCAGGATGCTGCTGAACTGTTCAAAAATCTGCATTACATGCTGTTTTAGCCTTTCTCTCGTATCTGACATGCTGTCCCCAGCTATCTCTCTTAGATGTTACTCCCTGGTACTGAAGAACACAACAATGTGATGATGTATGCCAAGAATACTTGTCTACCTTCATCAGGAAAACATCATCATCTCCTTACCTGCTGCAGTGACAGAGATATAGCACCTCCTCCACTTGCTAGTAAGCCACGGTAATTTCAAAACAGATACTTTTAATCATATGAATATATGTGTGTGCCTGTATACATCTATCTAAATAGACACACATACATATATACATTCACAGATGCAAATAATTAAAAGCAACAAATTTCTGAACCTTACTTGCAACTCTGTGTTTCATTTTCCACATAAAAATGGATAAAAATCTTTCAGTATTTGCCAGTAGCTCTTGGCACATATGAAATTGAAAAAGATTTATTCATATGATTATCAAGTGAATAAAAATAGAAATTCACACACCATGAACACCTGAGCCAAGATCGCCATCAAAAAACACAGCATTACTGTACAGTATCTGAAACTTCTCTTGAAAGAAGTGCTGGATTTATTTCCTACAATGCTACAAACTTTCTTAATAGGCTGAAGTCTTCCATACCTAGCATCTATTTCAGCCAGACATTCTAAAATAACAGCCAATATTATTCAAAAGTTTCCAGGGTGATGCTACTGAAAAATATTGTTTCTGTAAGATAACATGATTCCAGTGACGTTTATGGAGCACGCTTAATGCCTTTTTGCATGAGAAACATATTGGTTTGTGACAGTACCCCTAAATTATTTTCAAAAACCTGCCTCTGCAGAAACACACCATGCAGTCTTGTTACATTTCCACTTGTATCTCCTAAAGATCCTGTATGAAGTAATAACGCTAAGCGAGCTGTGCTGGCTTTCTCTACAATTGCTGCTCTGAAACCCTCAACTATGATACAGTTATTCGGCCTCGTGATACTGTCCTTCCACTTGCATTGGCAGGCCCAGCAAAAAGAGGGATACGGGATGCACAACAGCTCTGCTCAAAGCATGATAGGCACAGCAAGTAGCCCAGGATAAAATCCCAGGGGCAGAAACCGGGAATTAAGTAAATGGAGATTTGGACTAGCCAGCTATAAAACTTAGCATTTAGGGACACTGAACTATTGGGCAAATAGGTCACTGGGAGAGAACCTGAATTAACAAGCTAAAGGCAATGATGATGCTGGGGGAGAAGGTTAGGTGGAGAGACCCAGCCAAGCATGAAAGGGAAGGGTATCATGAAGAAGACTTGTCAGCCCACAGGATGTATTTAAGGGCAGTTTTGGATGTGTAATGATAGAGGATAGAGAATAGATAGAGGATGCAGAATAGAAGATAGAGGATGCAGAATAGAAGTAAAATAAGACACTGTATAAGAAACAGGGTGAATAAGTGGAGAAAGTTACGTGAACCCTGGAAATGAAGCAAGGAAGACCACACTAAATATGAGCATTTTAGGGTTCAGAATGAAGAAGTAACACAAGTTTGGATTCAATGGCAGAGGTAGGACATGCTAAGGCATCCTCTTCTCTACAGCCTGCCTTTAAACATCGCTTACATGCTGATTCAGAGTACCTTATTTTGGATTCCTCTGAACTGCAAATCATGAACAACTGCAACTGGGATCACTGAGACATGGTGTTTCCAAAACAAAACAGAGGCAGCTCTCAAAATGCCCACAGCTGAATAAGCCAGGTTGTGGATTAAGTGTGCCACAGACGAAGAGACACAGCACAGAGCCAAAATCAGGCTGGAAAGACTAGCTTGTATTCAGTGCCATGAAAATGTAGTTTATGACACTTCCAGGCATAACTTGAGTCTAGCAGCAGTTAGTGGCTCCCACATAAGCCTTGCCAGCCTCAAATAGCTGTATGCAGCATCAACACTGTGATCCTGGAATTGGCAAGCAGAGCGGCTCAACAAAGTCAGCTGAGGCTGTGTGCAGGCCTGTTGGGACTCAGGCTGGTTCTTACATGGTATTTGAGTGTCTGTACCATCCTCCTGAGTACACTGTGTTCTGCAAGAGTCTATTAGTTCCACTGAACAACTGAAGCACACTGTCTCTGTGCGTAGGAGCAACTTCCCACACCTGAGCCATCCCAGCTCCCACAGCACGGGCAGGCAGCACAGAAACACACCCACATGGCCTCCCACAAGCTAGCCCAGTCTGGCGACAACAGCACTACGCTCATGCATAAATCAGTTAACTCTTCTGCTCCTTCTGGCACCCAGCATAACTCCAACTATCTTTATATCCAGATGAATTAATCCTTCTGCCTGTTCCCCCTAGATCAGGTACTGCAGAGCTTACTGCAAGCTGCTTATAGCTCTGGCACCTATCGAGTGAAACAAAATTACGAAATTTGTAGGAGGAAGAATAACAACAACGGGAAGCCACAAAGCAATTACAATTCCAGAACAATCTTCCCAAGGAATAGCAAAGTCTAACAAAACAACAGAAAAACCCAACTGGTTTTGAACTGGAGCTTCATCAGTTGATGAAAGGGATTCTATAACATAGTATTTGCAATAGCAGGGAACCAAACACAACTAACTGCAGGAGGTGCCTGCCAGTTCCATGCCATGTTTTTGAATTAAAAGCAGAAAGGACCCCACCAACAATGAAGCCCTATCCCACTGTTTAACAATTGTAACGGGCCTTGAATAGTAAGCCAGAAACCTTCCTACACTAACAAGTGAAAAGCATACTTATACTGAGCATGATATTACCAGGCATTCCAGTAAGCGAGCAGGACGAGCAATAACTATCAGAATTTTTCTGACAAGTTGTTTAATAAATGCCATTTCTCCACTCTCTGATCGCTCCTGAGCCTAAAAGAGAAAAATAAAGTGATTATAAAACAAATCACACTTGATGCACTACACAGAAAGGAATATATGATATTTGGAACACCTTTCAGGGTTTGAAGCATGTAGTTAAGATGAACAGTATGTCACTTTTAAGATGCCAATAGAAATAACAAGGATTTGAGCAAGGCTGTGATTTCAAATTGAAGTAATCCCATTTGTACAATTCTAACATGGTAACAACAAAAAAAAAGTGCCTGCAATGGACATAATACCTACTTTTTTTTTTTAAACTTATATATCAGTTTTGCAAAAGGGACTATATTTCAATACAACGTACATCTCTGTACAAGTACAGCTATGTCTCAATTTGTTAATAATTTTAGGATGAAATGAAACTGACCTAAGTAATATTGATTAACACAAGCAACATCCATGACAGATTGATACTGATTTCCTATGGTCATGTCATACTAAAATGACAAGGACATATAAACATATTTATTAAATTATATT